GATACTTTGCCGAGTCATTTTCTTTTCTTTTTAACCCTTGACCCTTAGAGTAGATAGAATAACAATCCGTACTAGAAAACAAGCGTGGATCCCGTCGAGTACGACGGACGTGAGGGGTGCTAATACCTTCCCCTTGCGTAACCGACTCCCGAATCCAGGATTTGGTTGCAACGACCATTCCTTTCCCGTTTTGTGTTAGGTTTACTCTGAGCGTTTCCTTTCCCTCTTGTGGGATAAATAACGCACGGTGGCGACTCTTCTGTCATAGCCGGCGCTGATTTTCGCAGTAGCGACACTTATCAGCATAAATCTGGCATTTATGGCACTTGGCATACTTGAAACAATCAGATTCCATTGTTATCCAATAGTAGCCTGCCCTCAACAATTTCTGAGACATTGCATGTCCGCCTGCATGCGCACCAAAGGAACCCTCGTGGACCTCTTCCATAAGCATACCTGCTTCCTTTTCGTCCACGCATCTTAACAACACCAAGTCGAAATTTCTTTGGTAGAGTACATCGTCCTTGTTCAGATAGAAGTTTTCAGACAACCTTCTCAGAGTCTTCTTATCCCGGCTCGATGCCCCTGGCGGATACTCTTGATTCTTGAGAAAGTTTCTAATATCATGATACCACGGCTTCCCATCTGATGCTTCTTCTACGGAAAATATGAAAGTCGGCCTATTGAGGCGCGAGATAGTAATCCTTGGAGCATCATTCCAATGATTCACCTTGTACATAAAGGATAAAGTTTCCAAAGCATCTGCCATCTGATTCTCGGCCCTTGGCACGTGATGAAATTCTACTATTTCAAAGAAAGGTAACAACCTTCTGGCATAATTCAGGTAAGGAATCAGGTTAGGCTGACGAGTCTCCCATTCTCCTTTAATCTGATTAATGACCAAAGCTGAATCACCATATACATCAAGGTTTTTCATTCTCAAGTCAATTGCTTCTTCAATGCCCATGATGCATGCTTCATACTCGGCTTCGTTGTTGGTGCAGGAAAACGTTAGCCTGGAAATGAACGGTATGTGGGAACCATGGGGAGTCGTAATAATTGCCCCAATTCCACTGCCATAAGAATTAACAGCACCATCAAAAATCATCTTCCACTGGGAGCCTATCTCAGGACCTTCATCAGGTAGCGGCTCATCACAATCTTTCATCTTCCGAAACATAATGTCCTCATCATGAAATTCAAACTTCATTGTTTGATAATCTTCAATTGGTTGCTCTGCGAGATACTCTGACAAAACACTTCCCTTAATGGTCTTTCGGGAAACTATAATCAACGTTGGTTGAGGGTTTACGATTATACATGACTGTGAAAATGATATAGGCAGTAAAAATAATACATGAAAAGAAAAGAGATTTTATCCCTCAGTTATTACTTAAAACTGAGGTAAATGAATACCTTATTACCTAAATACAACCGAGAGGTATATGGTGTGCACAATAAAATTTAGAAAATAAAATATATGCAGTTGATGGGGATCGAACCCATGACATTATTACCTCGGTCTTTTACTATTATAAAACCATCCAAACACTTCTTAACACAAAAATAACTTATTTCAAACATCTATTTTCTCAGATTAAAACTCCATTCTTATTAAGCCCTAATTCTACAAATTAACATACAAATTAAACCACCAATTCATCAAATCACATCACTAAAATCTTCATTATTGCAACAATGGTGGAAAACACACATATAAACACAATACAAAATTTCAAACATCAATTCAAACGAATTTGATATCAATAAAATATGGAGAATATAAACTCCTCAACAACAAACACAAAAAATCATCACAATGATTATCATTATTTGAGGTTAAGGACTCTTATACGCTACTCCTCATGCATAACCCCTTATTGAAGGTTATTCTCCCCCTTACCATAGATGATCTCCCTATGCCCTAGCCCTTGCCTCTTCCTCTTTCCACCAAATTCTGTTTTTATGTAGAAAACTCTCTCAACTCCTTACTAACCTTTTTATTAGTAACCTAATCTCTCAATTAGAAGTTCCAGCTTTACCCTCACTCATCCCCTGTTCACCAAAATGCCCTTATCATCTCTAATTTTATTTTTGTAAAATACTACTAATACTCCTTATTTTCTATTATTCTATTTTCTCATTTTAATTAGATAGTTCAATTAAAATACTATTATTTAATTATTAAAAATAGACTCTAATAATTTTATCCCACCTCTACCAATCTCAAATCACTCTCCACACTTCCACCTCAAGGTCACACACCCCTGACACCCATATTAATTCAATTATCATATATAATAATTAGATTAAATCATAATAGTTCAAATAATTCGATAAATCAAGAATTAGGGTGTTACAACTCTCCCCGACTTAAAGGATTTTCTCCCTCAAAAATTACCTTAAGCAAACAGAGTCGGATGCGACTTTCTCATCTGCCTCTCTAGCTCCCAAGTCATATTTCCACCATCAGGTCCTCCCCAAGCTACCTTCACCAAGGTAATCTCTTTATCACACAACTGTTTCACGTCTTGATCTTTTATCTGCATGGGTGATGCTTTAACAATCATGTTATCTCTCACCTGCACATCGTCCATGTGGATTATATGAGATGGATTCAGAATGTATCTCCTTAACTATGACACCTGCCTTCAGAGCTAGAGGTGTAGGGATGTTGTGAAGGCGAATAACCTCGCGCCAAATTTGTTTACGAAGAGTGTTCGGAGGCATGAATCTCTCCTCCGTCTTTCCTAATCTCTTGAACGTAGTCTTGTCTTTGATGGGGGAGGTCTAATTACTCTTTTTCTGGTGGTGTGAACTTTCAGTGTTGGGAACACGCTTCTTGACGTCTCGCACCTTCTTCTCGGTGTTGCTCTCCTCGCCTTTTATGTAATATTATGCTTTGGTGACCACTAGTGCTAACGACAATAATGGCTTATGGGCGAGAGACTCGTTGAAGTGTCTCGCCATGAGTCTATTTTAGAATTCCCCCACAAAATTGTCTTGGTTTGGGAGAACGACCCTGATGGTGGCTTCATTGAATCGAGTTGATAGTCCCTTAGTGACTCTAAGGAACTCTATCGTATATTGAACAAGTTGGTGGTGGACATCTTTCTATAATGGCTGAAAGCAAACTGATGCACAAGTTTTCTTACCAGCTTCTTATAGCTGGCAATGGAGGCTCGGGGAAAACCCATACACCATCGTAGGGCGACGTCCCTAAAGGTTCCAAATAATAGTTTGCATTTTATGGAGTTAGGTGCTCTAATGATATCCATCTATGTGTTGATGGATGAGACATGTTCATAGGGATCATTCCGCCCATCAAACTTGGCCAAAGAGGGATGTTTGAGTCCTATAGAGATAGACGTTTCCCATGTCTCGTCTGAGAGTGGCTGAGGATCCAACCCTTCCATCTTCTCTCGTGATTGGACTCTAGCTGACGCTGTCTGATGTTAGGGACATTGTCCTCTAGTGTTTGATTACGACAGCGCAGTTCGTCCATGGCGGCACGCATATTCGCTAGGGTGTTGGCCTCACCGGTACTGCTGGTATCCTCAAGTGTAGATGACGGAGCTCTATGTTAATAATGGTGGAGAAATACTAGGTATATGAGCAGAGGTTAATAATGAGTATGGTGATTGTGATGAAGAATGTGTGATCAAAGTTAGTTTTACCAGGGCCCCACGGTGGACGTCATTGCACATGTCAAAAAGTAGGTGTGCATGGTATCCTTACAAGAGTAAGAGATACTCAGAGGCTTTAGTGAGTTTATAACAATTGTAGGGTGGTTAGGGTTTGCTCACGACTGTGAGAAGCCCTGCACAATGATGTTGCAATGGTTTTAGAGGACCTGCTCATGTGAGGTGAGAGGTTCTATATGTAGGTGTTATGCTTTGGGTGTTATGCATAAGTTATAATATGTCATTTCTCTCGTTAGGGGAGAAATTTATATATATATATATATATATATATATATATATATATATATATATATATATATATATATATATATATATATATATATATATATATATATATATATATATATATATATATATATATATATATATATATATATATATATATATATATATATATATATATATATATAGGTGTCTTTTGGGCCTAGGATTTAAGAAATCTTTAGAGGTAGTAATCACTTCCTCATGACTAGGGAAGACTGTTGACTACCTACATATGACTCCATCTCATATGACTAATGGGAGATAACAGTAATATACATGTCATCTATTCTAAGGGCGAGCCCCCACGTTCTGTGAGAATATCGTCTGCGCGATAATCCATTAGACGAGAATCCTAGAGTCGCTCCTATTAAGACTCTCACAAATATACCATTACATATTTAATTAATGGTTAATATCATTTTATCCTCTGTCATATAAATAAATTCTAGTTTATCTCCTGTAATTTTTTTTTGTAAAACTAACATTGTAATACAAAGATTAAGTTGTTTTAGACCTTGTAAAATTGTTTTTTTTTTTAAAATTAAAATTGTCATACGAAGATTACGTTGTTTTAGATCTTGTAAAATTGTTTTTTTTTATAAAACTAACTTTACTATATGAATTTTTGTATGACAAAGTTAATTTTAAAGAAAATTACAGAGGGGGTAAATCATAATTAACCTATATAGAATGGGATAAAATGATGTTAACTCTTTAACCAAAATCAAGTTTACAAAATCAATTCATTGAAAGTTAATTTTGTAAACAGCAAAACCAAAAACAAGATCAAATCATTAGTTATATATAAAAAATTATAAACATGTGACTATAAAATTTGTACTAATGTCATAGATTCACATGCAATGCAAGCCTTTGAGGCAGACTTATGTGGACCAGCAAGTTTAACATATATCATTTTTTCAAATAATAATAACGACATATTTACACATGATAAATACCACCCACTCTCGTCATGAAAAAATCATAAACCCTCAACCAGCATTGATTATAGTGGTACCACCTACCTTCATTATGATTCTATTCATAATTTTCTTTGTACTTTCAACACTTTCATGTCCCCAAGCTGTAGCTGAAGTCACTGAAACTGAAGCACAAGCTTTGTTAAAATGGAAACATAGTTTTGATAACCATACCCAAACTCTCCTATCAACTTGGATAAATACCACTAATCCATGCAAATGGCAAGGAATTCATTGTGATAAATCAAAATCAATTTCAACTATAAACCTTGAAAATTTTGGACTTAAAGGTACACTTCACTCTCTCACTTTTTCTTCACTCCCAAATCTCATGACCCTAAACATCTATAGTAACCACTTTTATGGAACCATTCCTCCCCAGATTGGAAACATGTCAAAAATAATCACATTGAATTTTTCTCAAAACCCTATTGAGGGTTCCATTCCTCAAGAAATTTTCACTTTGAAAAGTTTACAAAAACTTGATTTTTCAGTTTGTAAACTAAGTGGAGGAATTTCTAGTTCTATAGGAAATTTATCCAATTTATTGTATCTAGATTTAGGACACAATGATTTTTCTGGTGGATCTATTCCTCCTGAGATTGGAAAATTGAACAAGTTAGGGTATCTAGCAATTCCATATAATAGCCTAATTGGTTCAATTCCACAAGAAATTGGACTTTTGAAAGACCTTACTGCTATTGATTTGTCAACAAATTCTCTATCTGGTGTCATCCCTGAAACTATAGGTAATCTGAGTAAATTGAATCTTCTTGTAATTTCTAATAACACCAAGTTGTCTGGTCCAATTCCACAAGAAATTGGGCTTTTGACAAACCTTAATCTTATTGATTTGTCACGCAATTCTCTATCTGGTGTTATCCCTGAAACCATAGGAAACATGAGTAACTTAAATTGGCTTGTACTTGCTAATAACACCAAGTTGTCTGGTCCAATTCCACAATCCTTGTGGAACATGTCTAACTTGAATAGGATTGACTTTCAAAATATGAATCTTTCTGGTTCAATCTCCGATTCTATACAAAACTTGGTTAATTTGAATGAACTTGCACTCGATCACAATCACCTTTCTGGATCCATTCCTTCCACAATTGGAAAGTTGAAAAATCTAGTTAAATTATTTTTGATGAGTAATCATCTTTCTGGATCAATTCCTGCCTCGATAGGTAATTTGATCAATTTGGATGTTCTTAGTCTCCAAGTAAACAATCTCTCTGGAACAATTCCAGATTCAATTGGAAATTTGAAGAAGCTCACTGTTTTTGAAGTAGCTAACAATAAACTTCAAGGTAGAATTCCAAATGGACTTTACAACATTACCAATTGGTATTCCTTTGTTGTGTCTGAGAATTCTTTGGTTGGCCATTTGCCGTCTCAAATATGCTTTGGTGGTAATTTAAGGTACTTAAATGCTGATCACAATCGTTTCACCGGTCCGGTGCCAACAAGTTTGAAAAATTGTTCTAGCATTGAAAGAATCAGGCTCGAGGAGAATCAAATCGAAGGAGATATATCACAAGATTTTGGTGTATATCCGAAATTGCGGTATCTTGATATGAGTCATAATAAATTTCATGGACACATTTCAACAAACTGGGAAAAGAGTTTTGATCTTGATACTTTCCAGGTATCTGGCAATAATATTTCTGGTGTTATACCATTAGAACTTATTGGTTTAACCAAACTCGGTAGGCTTCATCTTTCTTCAAATCAATTGACTGGGAAACTTCCAAAGGAACTAGGAGACATGAAATCATTAGTTGAACTCGAGATTAGTAACAATTATTTCATTGGTAACATTCCAACAGAAATTGGAATGTTGCAAAGACTTGAAAAGTTGGATCTCGGTGGAAACGAGTTGAGTGGCACGATACCGGAAGAAGTTGCGAGGCTACCGAGGTTACGACTGTTGAATTTAAGCAGTAATAAAATTCAAGGAAGTATTCCACATCAGTTTGGTTCAGCTCTTGAGTCACTTGATCTCAGTGGCAATTTTTTGAATGGAGAAATACCAACAGCTATTGGAGATTTGGTGCAGTTGTCAATGTTGAATCTCTCACATAATATGCTTTCAGGGACCATTCCTCAAAATTTTGAAAGGGGTTTGGATTTTGTTAACATATCAGACAACCGGTTAGCAGGTCCACTTCCGAAAATTCCGGCTTTTCTTACTGCTTCATTTGAATCATTCAAAAATAACAAAGGCTTGTGTGGAAATATCTCAGGATTGGATCCTTGTCCAACAAGCCGTAGTCGAAAGAGCAAAAATGTCCTTCGATCCGTATTGATTGCTCTAGGAGCTGTAATATTAGTGCTGTGCGGTGTCGGATTTTCAATGTATATTTTCTGTCGAAAGAAACCAGCAAAGGAAGAAAGCCAAACTGAAGAAGAAGCACAAAGGGGAGTACTATTTTCAATTTGGAGCCATGACGGGAAAATGATGTTTGAAAATATCATTGAAGCTACTGAGAATTTTGATGACAAACACCTCATTGGAGTTGGGAGTCAAGGAAGTGTTTACAAGGCAGAGTTGTCTTCAGATTTGGTTGTTGCTGTTAAGAAGTTTCATTCGGTAACAGATGAAACAAAGTCATATTTCAGTTCAAAGCCTTTTATTAGTGAGATTGAAACCTTGACAGGAATCAAACACAGGAACATCATAAAGCTTCACGGATTTTGCTCACATTCTAAGTTCTCATTCTTGGTTTACAAGTTCATGGAAGGTGGAAGCTTAGATCAAATGCTAAACAATGATACACAGGCCACAGCATTTGATTGGGAAAAGAGGGTGAATGTTGTTAAAGGTGTAGCCAATGCTTTGTCCTACCTGCATCATGATTGCTCACCTCCAATTATTCATCGTGACATATCAAGCAAAAATATTCTTCTTAATCTTGACTATGAAGCTCATGTCTCCGACTTCGGGACGGCCAAGTTTGTAAAGCCGGGTTTAACTAGCTATACCAATTTTGCAGGCACTTTTGGGTATGCAGCTCCAGGTTAGAACTAGTTTTCCTCTTGTATTGGTTTTATATTATCATAACTTTTTTCATATAATATTGAAACTCATAAGTTAATTTGTTTGTTTGCAGAATTGGCGCAAACAATGGAAGTGAATGAGAAATGTGATGTTTACAGCTTCGGAGTTCTTGCAATGGAAATCATAATGGGAAAACATCCAGGAGATCTCATCTTATTATTTTTGTCACCATCTACAAGACCAATGGCTGATAATATGTTGTTGAAAGATGTTTTAGATCAAAGACCTCAACAAGTTATGAAACCAATTGATGAAGAGGTGATCTTGATTGCGAGGTTGGCATTGGGTTGCTTGAGTCAAAATCCACATTCTAGACCAACCATGGATCAAGTATCCAAGATGCTTGCAATAGGAAAAACACCTTTGGGGAACCAACTTCACATGATTAGACTAGGACAACTAGAATAAATCTGTAATTATTTATTTATTTTTATCTATTTTGTATTTGTAGTAACATCCTTGATTATGACTATGGTGCTTTTTTCTGTAGATATGAAATCTTTAATGCTGCTATTTCATATACCACTCTATTCACATTCCTCACTAGTATCATGCTTGGCACCTCTTCCAATCTTAGTTCAAAGCTACAATAAAAGTGATTAATGGAGATTTGGATTTCTTTAATTTAAGAAATGAAGCATTCATACTGAATACTTAAGTAGGAATTTTACATGTCAGGTATTGATTTAATTGTATAGATTTAGAATAAAAATTACTTTATGCTTAATTGCTTCCAAAAAATGCGAGACAATTTAAAGTGGACCCCTGTCCATTTCATTTTTAACCAACTGTTAACAGAAAAATAAATAAGTTGTTTTAACATGTTTTTTATGCATTTATTAAAAATGATGTAAAAAATCAAACATTCCATCTAACATCATTTTCTCTGAGACATTTGTTATCAAACCACACAGTTTTTGTAAATTTTTGTCATAAGCAACACTGTGGTCACATTGAGAAAGTATAAGAGGGTCTGATATGTCCCTCCCATAATGTTAACTACCCCTCAATTCACATTTAGCGTCAGGATCTGCCATAAGCAACACTGATCACATTGGATAACCATAAGGGGATTCCAATATTCCCCTCCCATAATGTCAATTTTGACTACCGATTCCTTAACAACCATGAGACAACAAATGGACAAAAGTAACTATAAAATGGTGAATATGTTGACACAACAAATAAGTACAATGTTCAATCCTTTGATCCAAAACACCACCCAAAGTTACCAACACTTAACCCATCAAATGGGCAGGATTGATGGCTTTTTTGGGCGCCTCCAATGCTAGTTGTGCCACCACCTGATAACCAGGTTCCAATCGAACAACCTCTATCAAAGATAGTCGAAAGGAACCAAGTTCAAAATGGTCTTGAAATACTTGTGCCCAGAAACCAGGATTCCAACCAAGTACTAGGAAATGTCAAACAAAACAATTTTTGGGGTTAGAATAATATAACAAACATGGTCGGATAGATTTTGGCCTAAAATGGCCTCAACATTGGCTTTCATAGGCCTAATTACGTACGTCCATTGTCGGAATATGTTTGACAGAACGAACTCCCTAGGGGTTGGAAAGTCCTCAAATTTACTAAGCTTTTTGGTGAGATAACGAGTCAACAGTCAAACATGTTGCTAGATACCAGGCTGAGGCAGGGGATATAGATAACAATGAAAGTTTAAAGATGAAATACTTTTGAAACTCTGATAAAATATGCCTTTACGTGGTTCACAACACTCCCTCCTAATTCCATACATACTTAGAGTCAATTAGAAAGAGTGTTTCACAAACAGTTCTACCTGGGCCAGTAGAAAATTAGCCTTAACGAAATGGCTAAGGTTAGTGTTGTACCCCAAAATTTGACCAACCGTTTCTTGTTTTGCCTTATGTTTCGTCTCATTTGCATCTGCATATCATTTATCGCATACTGTGCATTTTTTCAGCCGGATTGATTGTATCGGGATTACGGCCCCTTTTCTCGCGTTTCAGACGTTTCGAACCAGTTCGAATAAGAAGTTTATTTTGGAATTTGTGCTCTTCCCGGTGACTCAGTCCATGCTGTTATTTTTGAATATTTCGGTGTCCGCCTTTTTACCGTTCATTTTGTTGCATTCTTGCATTTTTATTCATTGATTTTCATTTGAATTATCTTGATTTTCTAGAATTTATTTCATTAACTTTTAGCATAGAAATTAGATTTTAAATAGATTTTATCTTTTATTTCTCTATTTTAGATATTTTAGAATATTAGTAGATTTCTTAATAGATTTTAAATAGCATTTTCTATTTTTAGAGTTTATTAGAATATTAATTGAGTAAAATATTAGGTTTTTCACTATTTTAATGATTTAGATTTGTTAGAATTTATTAATCTAGGTTGAATCTGATTAGAAGATTAGTTTGATTTTTTAATTAGAATATTAGTTGATTTTCAGATTTTTAGGGTTTAATTAATTGTTATTAATTGAGTTGGGTTTTAAAAGAACACGTTAATTTTAGTTAGGTTAATTGAGTCACGTTGCATTATAGCTTTCGGTTTAGTCTTAATCAGCATTTAATGGCACTCAGCATTTTAATTAACCTTTAGTTCATTAATTAATCAGCTTTTAAATCAGGTCCACATGCCATGTGCCAAGTGTCAGGGCTATAAATTCCCTGTTCACTCTCTCTCTCACCAGCTGGACGCGATTCCCGAGAAAACCCTAAACACCTCCACCAGCAAAATCAACGGCGTCCAATCCTGCCGAAAAACACACCGGAAAACTCATCAAGCTCACCGGAAAATTCAACGATCTTCATACGAGATCTTCAAACCTTCATCAATTCATAGATCTTCATGAACATTTTTTCCAGCAACATTCATCAACCTTCATCTGACTACATTCAACTCTCCAATTTTATGAAATAACAACAATCTTCTTCAGATCTTCTTTAACATCAAACCACGAGCAAACTTCAACCAAAACACAAATCAAACCTAGATCTGAACTCGAATTTTCATCCACCATAATCATCACCATGAATAATTTTCCGGATCTACAATCAACCTCACACGATCCAGATCTGAAATTCTTTTTCTAGATCCGTATGAACCACAACCCCAACATCAACCAATGTCAAAATCAACTCATCGTTAAACTCCAGAAATCGTTCTTCGAATTATCATCAACTCCAGATCTGAAACTCAACTTGCAATTCTTCAACCTCCAAACATCTTCATGTACAATCTCCAGATCCTCATCATTTCTCAGAAGACCATCTTCAACCTAAGTCGTTACCTCACCAAAATAGTAGATCCACACAGATCTTCATCCATCAATTTCGTCCGACGAGCCAACTTCAACGAAGTTCATCCAAACGATCCAGACCTTCACCTTCGTTCTACTCCGTGAAACATCTAACAACAATATCAACCTCCGTAAATTTCAATGACAAACCACCAAAAAACCCTCTCATAACAACCACCTTCCAAAGCTCTGTCGTCTTCTCCATTTACGCGACCTCGAGCTTCAACATCCGCAAACAAACAACAATCAACACAAATCTCTGTCTTCAAATCCAACCCTCCTCACAACAGTGAAACCGCAAATCTATCAACCTCTGAAACATAGCAACCTGGTTTTTCGAGTTTTGTTTGTTTGCTATTAAGTTTTGTAGCTTTGATTTTCTTAACAGGAAAAGAAGAAGGGTATGAGATCGAAGAAAGAGAAGTTTGAGATCTGGAAAGTTTGTTTGTGAGTTTAGCGAAGTTTTGTTGGAAGAAGTTTTGTTGGAAAGAAGTTTAGAGGACAGATGAGAGGATTTTTGATCTGCGGCGGAGTTAGGTTTTGGAGATGACAATGATGTTGAAGAAGAGGAAAGCTAGGGTTTTGTTTTGACCAAATGAGGAAGAAGAATCCTGAGACTGTTTGGACGGGTTAGTGGGCTTTGGCCCATTTGTTTTCTGAGCTTCATACCCCCCGTTCCCATTATTGCACACCCCCCTCTGCTGATTGCTTTGTTGTGAATGTGAGCTCAAAGCCCAACCGAATTTTCAGGCTATTGCACCCTTTTTTTTACTGCTGTAAACCCCCTGTTGGCAATTTGTGTAGTTTTTTTTTTGTATTTTTGTTTTAAGAAATAATTTGTATATATGTGAATACATTTTCTTGGTATTTTCTTTTAGGAAATTATATTTTCTTTTAGAATTAATATTTTACATACAGTATATATTATATTTTTCTATACTTAATTTCTTTTAAATTTCTTTAGAACCTTATTTTTCTATTAGAAGTTTATTTTATTTTAGAAGTTGAATTCTTCTTCCTATTTATTATTGGGCTTTTCATATCATTTTCATCTTGTTTTGGTCGATGATGAGACCTCTGTAAACCGTTATTAATCAAGTTGTTGATGGATAATGTAGGATCTGAGACCACCTCTTTCTCTCCTCATTTCTTCTCTTTCTGATTTTATTTTGACTTTCTTCTGTTTTGGTCCGTGTGACACGATTCAATTGGAGAATGATTCTCAATATCATTTCTCTATCTTGTCTTTGACACGGATATCAATACGCAACCTCCTATAGCCTGACTTCCATTTATAAGTCGAGTTACGACGGTTTAGGGTCACAGTGGTCCCGATTCGATTCGAAACATCATCATAAAGGATCAAAGGAGAGGAGCTTGGAAAGGAAGCTAACATGCAAAGTCAAGGGTCAACGGAACCACTCCGTTCGGTAACATTGTTTTTATTTCATTTCTTTTATGCAACCGTCGAGTGTTGTGAGTTGTATCGATAGACACGTGGGAAATGATGAGTGGGGAGCCTCTTCTCACTCGTCTAGAGTGTTTAGCGTATGTCTTTTGGACAATATGCGACGCTTTCGCTCCTATGTTTTAGGATTTAGCGTGTGCGTCCCCATTCGAACCTTTTCTCTCGCATCTGTGCAATCGAGACTCCCTTTTCTCTTGCCCCCGTGCGATCGAGACCGTTTTCCGTAGTTGGCCGAGCTACGGATGTTCTGATCTCTCATATCTGTTGAGAGTACGTAGGCATAGGATTGCGATGATCCTAGCGAGCACTTTTCCTCCTTTTTCCCCTTTAGGTTATCCGTACCTTTAAACCAATGACATACTACGTCCGTTCTAACGGAAACAGGTAACGCCTAAGTCTCCAATGGTTGAGGAGCAATACACCTAACTGTTAGAATGTGTGCGCTAGTATCGTCTATCTTTTCTCTCGCTCCTCGTGCGATCGAGAACAACCTGTTTTCCTATAGTTAGCCTGAACTACGTTTTTCTCTGATTTCTCATACCAGATGAGAATACGTAGGCACAAGACGCGATATCTTGGCGAGCAATTCCCCCTGTAGTTTCCCAAACTATGTTGACTCTGACCTTCCCATTGCACGAGGGAATACGTAGG